AAGATTTATTTATTTATTTAAGGTACTTATTTAGCGCCGTCAATTTAAGCAGCGCTTTACAGATATATATATTGTACATTGACATCAGTCCCTAACCCTCAAGTGGTGTACAATGTAAGGTCCCTAACTTACATTCATACATACTAGGGCCAATTTGGACAGGAATCAATTCACCTACCAGCATGTCTTTGGAGTGTGGGAGGAAACTGGAGTACCCAGAGGAAACCCACGCAGGCACAGGGAGAACATGCAAACTCCAGGCAGGTGGCGCCGTGGTTGGGATACGAACCAATGACCCTAGTACTACCAGGTGTAAGTGCTAACCATTTAGCCACTGTTCTACCCAATGGAGGACTCAATGAGGTTTTGTTTGTTATGCGAACCTTTTGGCACTGGACCCTGCATTACGGATCCCTGTGCATTTTTGTTAAATGACCAAGGCGATTTTAATTTCTGTTTATTAGCAGAGCCCTTCTTCGGTATTGGTGAGTTTGCCCTTTTCTTTTTTTTTCTCTTGGGAAAAAAAAAAAAAGTAAGAAGTAGCATGGAGAGAGGGATGAATATTTTCATATGTTTCCAGGAGCAAAACAGAAGATTTGACTATGCTTAGACAGCCTTTTTTATTTTATGCAAAGCACCAATGCTGCCTATGCAGCCAGGCAGAGCCAGGTATCCACAATCCCTGTGTCCTTTTTCAGGTTTACCACAAGAGGGCATCGGCAGCGCGGTATCGGTACTAGCTACTGTCTGTGTTCCTAGCTGGTTTTCGTTTGACATGTGGGGAGCCTTTGTCAGGGGTAACCATTTTCCAGTTTCAGCTGTGGTCAGTAGGAGCCGAGGCCCGCCTGCTGGATCGTGCACCATCCTCAGGTCCTGAAGATCCTACTTGATGTTCCGCAGTGGCAGCTTGCCCTGAAAGACCAGAGGCAACTGGAAAATCGGAGCCGCTTCTCTTTGGTATTGTGGCTACTACCAGTGTGTCTGCTTCAGTATACGTTACTAAGGATGATTTAATATCTTCCTTGGCTGGATTGGAGAATAAAATAGCTGACATGATTTTTGCAGTTACGCAGGGAGGGAAGAAGCATGAAAAATCCCCCTCCCCTGATCATTCTGTTTTGGAGCAGCAATGGATAGAGGATATGGAGGAAGTGGCTGTGGAGGAGCTGTAGGAAGGTCAAGCGGAAGACTCCACTTCAGGGGAGTCAGCACTTGAGAAGGGAGGCTTCTGATGCCTCCCACTCCTCCTTGGGTTCACTGTGAACTCTGCAGAATGATCAAACTTTTTTCCATTGCATCCGCTCCTAGAGCAGGTAGAATATGCTGACTGGGGTCAACCAGATAATTTGTTCCTCCCAAGAGGTTTTCCCTGCTGTATCCCATGGAAGTAAAATGGGTTAAAAGATGGCGTATGCCGACGGTTGTCGCAGCCACGTCTTCCTTGAATAAACGTTTAACTTGTCCAGTGGACAATGCCCAAGTGTTTAAGGATCCAGCTGATATAAAAATTGGAATCATTACTGAAGGCTTCTTTAGCTCTTGATGGTTCTTCTGCACAACCTGCGGTAGTGACAATTGGTGTATGGCAATTCCTGAAGGGCCATGTTAAACGGTTGGTTAAAAATCTTCCTGGTCAGCGAGAGGATTTTGTTGAGGAGGTGGCGATTTTGCCCCATGCTTTGCTGTGGATGCCCTTAAGGATTTAATACAGCAGGTTTCATGATTGGCTCTCCTCTCAGTACACGTGTGCAGAATCTTATGGTTGAAAAGCTAGTCGACGGAATTAGCTTGCAAAAAATTACTGGTTGGATTCCTCTTTCATCATGGCGAGTGCCTGTTTAGTGATGTTTTAGATAAATACATCCAGAGGATTTCGGGGAGGGGGGGAAGAGTTCTCTCCTACCAGTTAAGAGGAGAAGTAAGCGTCCATCTTTTAAGGGCTCCAGTACTCCTGCTGCTGCTACTGCCTCAGTTGCCAGGCAGTTTCGGTGCTCACAGGTGTCTGGATCTAGAGGCAAGCCTCAAGGCCAAGGACAAAGGAAACCATGGGTTCAGAAATCCACTAAGGCTGGCCCTAAGCTCTCTTTATGAAGGGATGCCCCCCCCACTCGTACAGGTGTCTCACAAGTGCCTGGGAAGACGGGATTCCGGACAAGTTTGTCATTTCCACAATTTCTCAGGGGTGCAGACTAGAGTTTCAAGTTCTTTCCCCTCCCCGGTTTTTAAAGTCCCCTGTACCCACAAACCAGCTGAAGAGAAATTCTTTATTTGAAGCACTCGATTGATTGCTGACCCAAGGGGTAATTGTAGAAATGCCGTCAAGCGAAAAGTTCAGGGGTTTCTACTTAAACCTGTTCACGGTTCCTAAGCCAAACGGAGACATGAGGCCTATACTAGATCTCAAGGCTCTAAACCAATTTCCATTTGTTTGTTTCAGATGGAATCAGTCTATTCAGCAGTAGCCTTGCTGCAGATAGGTGATTTTTAAGCGCCCATAGACATCAAGGACGCATACCTTCATGTACCAATATTCCAACCTCATCAAAGGTTTCTGCAGTTTGCGGTAGAAGGTCTTCATTTTCAATTCATGGCTCTGCCCTTTGGGTTTGCCACACCCCCTTGTGTTTTCACAAAAGTTCTGGCTCCAGTATTGGGCCTACTAAGAGTCCAGGGAATATCGGTACTAGGGTACCTGGACGACCTATTTGGAGTTTAAAGTGATGATAGTCTTTTTTTTTTTTTTTTTTAACAAACGTGTTATACTTACCTGCTCTGTGTAATGGTTTTGCACAGAGCAGCCCGGATCCTCCTCTTTTCGGGCCCCTCCCTCCTGTTGGGTGCCCCCACAGCAAGCAGCTTGCTATGGGGGCACCCGGGCAGGTGTGCTACTGAGACATGGCTCTGCGTGTCCATTCACACACAGAGCTGCGGCTCGGTCCCTGCCCCCTCCATCTCCTGATTGGCTTGCTGGCTGTGATTGACAGTGGCTCATTTGCTGTCATTGAAAAACCTTGAGCCTTTAGAACCACTTTAAGGCAAAATGTGGCTTTTGGGCTTGGTTCTAGATACAGTGCAGGCAAAATCTTCCTTCCCCCCGGGAAAGTGCCGTGCTCCCATGCGAGCGAGATGTCAAGTGCCGTGCGAGATGTCAAGAGAAAAAGATATCAATCTATACGCCTCTGCATGAGGTTGCTGGCGACGATGGTATCTGCATTCAAGGCAGTTCCCTGTGGACAGTTCCACTCCAGACCATTGTAGATAAACATTGTCTGTCTGGAACATGTCTCTGTTCCTCAGGGAAAGGCGGAGTTTGAGTTGGTGGTTGGTGGCTTGGATCCTGGAAATAGGAAAGTCTTTTTTTTTTTTCCGGTAGTTTGGAAAATAGTAACCACAGATGCCACTCTTTTTGGCTGGGGGGGGGCTGTCCTTGAGGGAGCCGCAGTCCAAGGGAAGTGAGCTCAGCTAGAGAAGTCTGCCCATGAATGTCCTGGAACTTCGGGCAGTTCGCTTTGCTCTGAAGCTTTGGAAGATCAGGTTACATGGACATCTGGTCAGGATCAAGTCTGACAATGCCACGCCCGTGGCTTACATCAACCACCAAGGAGGCACCAGGAGGTGGATGGTCCAGGAGGAGGTGAATCAGATTCTAGCTTGGGTGAAGCTTCATGTGCCATCTCTGTCAGCAGTTTACATTCCGGGGGTAGAGAACTGGCAGGTGGATTTTTTCATTTGTCAGCAGTTGGTTCCGTGAGAGTGGTCCATGCACCCCGAGATTTTCACTGCAGCTTGCCAGCATTTGGTTACCCTGGACGTAGATCTATTGGCATCCAGGTTCAACAAGGTGGGCAAGTTTGTATCCAGAACAAGGGACCTGCTCACATTCGGGGTGCATGCTTTAGTGACTACTTATGATCAGTTCTCCCTAATTTATGCTTTCCCCCCGATTCAGCTTCTGCCGTGCCTCTTGCGCAGGATCCGAGAGGAGGTAACATTGGTGATCTTGGTATCCCCGGCCTGGCCCAGGAGGGCATGGTACGCAGATATACAAAAACTAGCTGTGGACAGTCCATGGGCCTTTCCAGTCCGGGCGGACCTACTGTCTCAAGGCCCAATATGGCACCCTGCTTTACAGTCGTCAAATTTGATGGTATAGCTATTTAAGCCAGGATCGTGAGGGACCAAGGGGTCTCGGTTCCAGTTATTTTTACACTGTTGAAGGCTAGGAAGCCGATTTCCAGGAACATCTATTACAGAGTCTGGAAATCTTCTATTTCGTGGTGTGAGTCCAAAGGATGGCATCCCAGGAAGTATGTGATTGGGAGGAATCTCTCTTTTCTCCAGTCAGGTGAGGAAATTAGTTTGGCCTTGGGCACCATTAGGTCAGATTTCAGCTTTGCCTGCATTCTTTCAAAGGCATATTGCTTCGCACTGCCTGGTTTCGGGCCTGTGTACACGGGGTGATTACTGTGATCTCTCTTGTCAGGCTACCCTTGTGCCCATAGGGTTTAAATTTGGTATTGGTTATCTTGCAGAAGCAGCCGTTTGAATCTCAAACAAAACATAAAAACTTACTTTGTTTTTAACAGAGATGCTGTTCAAGTGTAATCCACTAGAATATAAACAAAAATCTCAACAGTGTATGTAAACTTAAAAGTGCCCATAAATGTCCAGCTATGTAAAAAGAGTGCTTCCAATCCACAGTCTATCTTCTTCATTAACCACTTGCCTACAGGGCACTTATACTCCCTTCCTGCCCAGGCCAATTTCCAGCTTTCAGCGCTGTCACACTTTGAATGACAATTGCGCGGTCATGCAACACTCTACCCATATGAAATTTGTATCATTTTTTTTGTGACAGATAGAGCTTTATTTTGGTGGTATTTAATCAACTCTGGATTTTTTATTTTTTCTTAAACCAAAAACCACTGAAAAGTTTGAAAAAAAAAGTTTTTTCTTAGTTTTTGTTATAAAATTTTGTAAATAAGTGATTTTTCTCCTTAACTGATGTGCACTAATGAGGCTGCAGTGATGGGCACTGATAGGCTGCACTGATGGGCACTGATGAGGCACTGGTAGGTGACACTGATAGGCATTGACAGGCATCACTGATGGGCACTGAAAGGCAGCACTGATACATGGCACTGATAGGCGCCACTGACTGGCACTGTTAGGCAGCACTGACTGGCACTGATAGGTGGCACTGATTGGCATTGATAGGTGGCACTGACTGGCACTGATGGGTGACACTGAAAGGCAACTCAGATGGGCACTGATATGTGGAATTGATGTGCACTGGTAGGCACTGATATGTGGCATTGATGGGCACTGGCATGAGGCACTGATGAGCACTGACACAAGGCACTGATGGACACTGACAGGTGGCACTGCTGGGGGCACACTGATCATCAGTGCCATGATGATCAGTGTACATGATGTCCCCTCCGCGGAAAGCCGATTACCGGCTCACCTCTCCTCACGAGCTGTCAGCGTGACAGCTCGAGAGGAGAGATAACCGGCATTTTCCTGTTTAAATGTGATCAGCTATGATTGGACACAACTGATCACGTGACCAAGCCAACATCATCGGCTCTTTCCGTGATCCCTGAGCTGCGCATGCACGGTGAGAATGGGAGGACGTCATATGACGTCCTCCCAGAACGAGAGAACCACCTTGCATCTGTCATATTACTATATGGCGGGCGGGAGGTGGTTAAAGTGCTCAAAGAAAGTGACTGGTGCTCATCAATCGGTGTCCCCTTTGTGACCACAATCACTAGATCTGGTGGACACCTTGCTTTTATGCAACAGTGGTAACAGTCAGACAGCGCTCTTGTCTGGGGAGGACTCCTTATTGCTCTCCACCCTGTCCTTCCAGCCAGGAACATAGCAATGAATGAACTTATACCTCAAGTAAAAATCAGAGGAATAGAAGAAACCCTCCTAGTGTAATATTGTCTTTAATAATAAAAGGTTTTGGAATTGCACTTACGATGAGCATAACAACATTGAGAAGGAACAGGGCCCTCTAATCCCTCTTGTATTGAACTGTATTGTCTCCCACTATAATGTAAAGCGCTGAGCAAACCGTTGGCACTTTATAAATCCTGTATAATAATAATAATTGAGTCTTGTAAAATCTACCGGGCTGTATAATTATGGTCTTGGAATGCCGCTGGCAGTGTACACTCCATGAGCCGGATGTGACATTACCGGAAACCAGAAGCTCCCTCCCAACACGTTTCGCCCCTCCCAACGTGTGCCTTCAGAGACAGAGATGTCCTAATGACTTAAATGTTTTTAACATTGCACTGTTTATCTCCTCACCTCCCTGCTTGTCTCCAGCACCGCACCAGGGGACTAGCCAGGAGGGAAGAGACCTCACAGTGTAATGAGCACCGATTGGGTGCTCTTTTAACGCTCAACAAAAGCACTTCTGCTAAGCGAGTAAATAAGGCACCGGCTGCAATCGGGGGGGAATGTATTCCTTCAGGTTACCCTCGCACATGGAAGCACTTGGGTGCTCAGTACTATCTCCTGCTGAGCTGCCAAATCAAGCTGCGGTGTCCACTCAGGTAGGCCCAATTCACACCTGGGTGTTTTGGGATTGCAGCAGAATCTCTGCGATTCTGCCAGCAATCTCAAAATGCGCTACAATCACAAAACACAGGTTCAGGTTGCATTATTATTCAATGGCACTTAAAATGCGGTGCAGTTTTAGGAGCAGGAGCTTCTTTTGGATGACAAGCTTCACGTGATGGGAATTGTCGTGCGACAGTTGCGGCAAAAATGTACCACGTTTCAAATAATGGAACCTGAACCTGCGTTTCGCAGTTGCGGGCAGAATCGGAGCGATTCTGCCACAATCCCAAAATTCTGAGATGTGAATGGAACCACCCTGGTTCACACATATGCGATTCTGGATGCGCCTGACAGGCTAGATATTATGTGGTCGTATTGAGGTGGTTCACACAGATGCAATTCACACGCATTGCGTTTTGAGTGCCATTACAAAAAATAGGGTTCTGTGCGAGTTTGTAGCAGTGTGTTCCAGACTCGCAAGTGATAGAGTAGAGTGGCATGCAGAGAAAAGTGTTCACATAGGATTACTATTGACAGGAGCTTTTGCATTGAAGTCTGTGGGAGGTGTTTTTCCATTGAAGTCTGTGGGAGGTGTTTTTCCATTGAAGTCTGTGGGAGGTGTTTTTCCATTGAAGTCTGTGGGAGGTGTTTTTGCATTGAAGTCTGTGGGAGGTGTTTTTGCATTGAAGTCTGTAGGAGGTGTTTTTGCATTGAAGTCTGTGGGAGGTGTTTTGCATTGAAGTCTGTGGGAGGTGTTTTGCATTGAAGTCTGTGGGAGGCGTTTATTGCATTGAAGTCTGTGGGAGGCGTTTTTTGCATTGAAGTCTGTGGGAGGCGTTTTTTGCATTGAAGTCTGCGGGAGGCGTTTTTTGCATTGAAGTCTGTGGGAGGCGTTTTTTGCATTGAAGTCTGTGGGAGGCGTTTTTTGCATTGAAGTCTGTGGGAGGCGTTTTTTTGTATTGAAGTCTGTGGGAGGCGGTTTTTTGCATTGAAGTCTATGGGGGAGGGGGGGGGGGTTGCATTGAAGTCTATGGGAAGCTTTTTTTTTTTGCATTGAAGTCTATGGGAGGCTTTTTTTTTGCATTGAAGTCTATGGGAGGCTTTTTTTGCATTGAAGTCTATGGGAGGCTTTTTTTGCATTGAAGTCTATGGGAGGCTTTTTTTTGCATTGAAGTCTATGGGAGGCTTTTTTTGCATTGAAGTCTATGGGAGGCTTTTTTTGCATTGAAGTCTATGGGAGGCTTTTTTTGCATTGAAGTCTATGGGAGGCTTTTTTTGCATTGAAGTCTATGGGGGGCTTTTTTTGCATTGAAGTCTATGGGAGGCTTTTTTTGCATTGAAGTCTATGGGGGGCTTTTTTTGCATTGAAGTCTATGGGAGGCTTTTTTTGCATTGAAGTCTATGGGAGGCTTTTTTTGCATTGAAGTCTATGGGAGGCTTTTTTTGCATTGAAGTCTATGGGAGGCTTTTTTTGCATTGAAGTCTATGGGAGGCTTTTTTTGCATTGAAGTCTATGGGAGGCTTTTTTTGCATTGAAGTCTATGGGAGGCTTTTTTTGCATTGAAGTCTGTGGGAGGCGTTTTTTGCATTGAAGTCTGTGGGAGGCGTTTTTTGCATTGAAGTCTGTGGGAGGCGTTTTTTGCATTGAAGTCTGTGGGAGGCGTTTTTTGCATTGAAGTCTGTGGGAGGCGTTTTTTGCATTGAAGTCTGTGGGAGGCGTTTTTTGCATTGAAGTCTGTGGGGAGGCGTTTTTTGCATTGAAGTCTGTGGGAGGCGTTTTTTGCATTGAAGTCAGTGGGAGGTGATTTTTGCATTGGAGTTCATGGGATGCTAAAATGCAAAATTGCATCCCATTGACTTCAATGCAAAATGCTTGCCCACAGCAGGGCTAATGTAAAAAAAATGAAAATCCACTTGCCCGGTACCTGGAACTGCATGTCCCAGGTGTGGGGCAATATAAATCGTGCATCCCTGTACCTGTTTATCTGCAGTCTTCTCTTTTAAATCTGTCAGAAAAAAGGGGGCAGAGAGCTGAAATTAAACATTATAGAGCTCAGTGAGGAGAGCTCTGAGAGCTAATTGGAGGGAATGGACACGCCCCCTTCACACAGCTCACAGGAACAGAATTGAGCCTGTCAATCTGCTGGAGGCCCTTCCCTGTCTCCTTTTTTCTCTTGGTGTCACGAAAACCTGTCAGAAGTGATTCAAGCTGATTCATGAGGAATTAAGCAGCAGAGAGAAATTACACTTAGTGCTCTTCATTGAGACAAGTACACACTATAAAGGGATATGCTTTGTTCATATCTGAGGTTTACAAACCCTTTAAGGTAACAAGATGTTTAGACTTTAGTACCACTTTAAGTAACAAAGCTACAGTAGGTCTTGTCCCCTGCCCTGTATCTGTGAATGGACAGTAAGAGAGAAGACTGGTGAGGTTCTCTCTCTTTTACTATAAGTAGGGGCGGACTGACCATTTGGAAACTCAGGCACTGCCCGAGGGCCTGGGGTCAGTAGGGGGCCCCATGAGATGCCCCTGTTACCTTTTTCATAGGCTTTTTGGAGTTTGGGCAAGGACACAGGGGCCCCATGATCCCCTACTGCCTGGGGGCCCCATGAGTTGTCAGTCCGCCCCTGACTATAAGCATGTTCTTTGCCGGCACATGTAAATAAAGCACACCTGGCTCAGAATGCTGCCTCCCCATCTTCCAGGCTTAGTGCTGCTGTGCAGAGGACTACAAGAGGCTGATAAAAAATAATTCAGGTGATTCTTCTGGTTGTATTTTAAAATAAATGTATTTTTTAAATAGATGTAAGAGTGACGTTTGGGTTATACACATGTGGTTCCTAAATTGGCTGATTTATGCTGCCAATTTAACTCAGCAGTTTTCAGGCAATTTTAACCATTACCGCCAATGTTGGATCATGAAAAACAAGCAAATGAATCAAGACACCCTGAAAAAACTGAGCATCATTGCTGTGATTGATTTTGTTATAGGAGCTTAAATTTCAGAGCATATGTCTGGTTTTAAAGATCTCATATATAGAATGTTCATGTTAATGTATCATGCAGGCATGCTTCTTGTGATGTGAATTAATGAATGTAGAATTCGGGCCATTCAGTCTCACCTGGATTTTAGGAAGCCAGGGAACATATCCTCTCTATTTGTAACAATAGGTATTAGCTCTAATTATTTGGAAATATTAGCTCCTGCTTCATACCCTGTGATGTGTTGTATAAAGAGCATGGCTAGAAACACTATGGCTTTATTGCTGCTCTTTTATTTAAATTGTATTTTAATTCACTCTCTATCTGTCTTTCAGGAAGGTTGTAGAGTGACAGAAATTTCTGGAAACTCCACTGCCACCAGGTATGTTGTGCTGCTTAGTATTGGGCTTTATCAAACTTAAGCAATCATTCCCTAACCCTAAGTTCACACCTAAGCGTTTTCTGCAGCGTTTTGCATTCTTACATGTTTTCATCTGTGCTTTTTCACCCGGTGCATTTTTTGGAAAGGGTCAGGAGTTGTGTTTTTGGTTCTCTAGACTTCAATGGAAACCCTGCAGAAAAGCATGTATTGCGTTATTGATGCCTTTTTAATGTGTTTTGTGTTTTAAATCTGCCTAGCAACAAGAAAAAAAAAAAAGAAAAAAAACGCAGGTCCAAAACGCAATGCAGAAACGGCTCAAATGCAACCTGCATAGGTGTGAACTTAGCCTAAAGGAGTTGTCCAGAGTAAAATGAAATCAGATCTCTCCTAAAAACATCTGTGGTTTAACCTTTCTTCTTTGGTAACCACCAGTAAGACCTTCATCTTTCTTTTGGTTTTTATATCGGCAGACTAGGTTGGACCTTTTGATATAGACAAGCTCTCATCTCATTGGTCAAGTTTCCCCTTCAAAGGCATTGCAGTAATAATGGAAATCATGGCTTTTGGTTCCAAAACAATGAGGAAAAAGGGGTGGAATTCTCATGGTGCTTTGCTACTATAACACCATAAATTGCTGATCCAGAGGGTATCCAATAGCTTTTGGGGATTTGGAAGGCTGTTGGAACATTTTGGGCCATGCTTTATTAGGAATGTTCTGCTTTCCTCTGAAGCAGCTTAGGGTTTAGAGTTTTTGCGTGCAGGTTTTTAATCAGTTAATTTATTTTTTTATTGGTGGAGCTCCATAGACATGTTTTGTTTTGTTTTTTTTGTTTTTTTAACCAATGTAGCTGTAATATAACAATGAAGGAGTGGAGTCTGTAGTAGTGGCATGGTTTTGGTTTACTCTAAATATTTTATAGTATTTTTTTAAATAATAAAATTTTAATAAAAAATGTATTTTGCAGCAGTGTCCATATAAAGATATTCTTTACTCCTAGGTGTCGGAAGGTTTGCAGGAATCCATGGCTGAAAGTGGAAGTGGAACAAGTGGCTCTTCCAATATGGGAGGAGTAACAAATGTAGCCTCTTTGCCTCCAGGAGATCCCCAACTTATTGCCTTGATTGTCGAGCAGCTTAAGAGCCAAGGACTTTTTGATGTATTCCGAAGAGATTGCTTGGCAGATGTCGACACCAAGCCAGCCTACCAAAATTTAAGGCAAAAAGTGGATAATTTTGTTTCTACTCACCTAGATAAGCAGGAGTGGAATGCAGGAATGAACAAGAACCAACTCCGTAACGGGCTGAGACAGAGTGTCGTCCAGACTGGGATGATGGAAGCTGGAGTAGATAGAATTATTTCACAGGTGGTAGACCCTAAACTCAATTACATATTTCGGCCACAGATAGAAAAGGCTGTTCATGAATACTTAGAGTCTCAGAAGAGAGAAGAAGTTGTGCCAGCTCCTCCGCCGCCTCCGCCACCTCCAGAACCAGAGGAGAGTGACCCTCCTGTACCATCTGAAAGTGCCTCTTAGAAGACAATCTGTTTTTTAAACAAACAATGACCGCATCTGTGATGCTTATAAACTATAGAGGTGTTAAGCAATGTGCTGGATAGCTTACATTAGAGTGAACTGTAAAACAAAAAGTGAACTAGGATCAGACAGTGAAGGTGGTTATCTCTTGAAAGCCTTACTGTAAGGTCCTTGATCTAGGGTCTCAATTAATCAGAAGTCAGACAGGGCTGTAGTTTGTTTGATACTGTATGGAACTGTAATTTGTAGATTTTTTTTTTTTTTGCATGTGACAATATTTTGGAAATGACGTAAAAGGGTGTGGGTGATTCTGAAATTAAATATTGTTTGCCTCTGAACATAAGACTACCTACACTCTTAGGTGAATGTACAAGTGTTGTTATGTTAGACTGCCAAATTATGTTCAGCCTATTTTTTTTTTTTTTCTTTGTCTTGTTTTTGAAAGATTCATTTTAGTTGTATGCATACACAAGGAATTTTCTGATAACTGCAAATAAAAATTTTTTTTCATAAAATGTTGTCATTTCTGCCTTTGTGTGTTATGTAGTTTACATTTACCATTCATTAAGTAAAGGGCAAGTGTACTGTATACACTTTGTGGGAGTTGTAGACTGTTTCCACTATCTCTCAAGACGTATGATTTGCTTCTAAGAGCAAGAAGTGAAACCCATCAGTGAACTTCCAGTGCCGTCCATCAAGCATTGCATTTGTGCTAAATAATGAAGTTAGCAGAAGTTGATTTTTTTTTTTTTTAAGATTTATTAATCCCATTCCTCCAGATTCAGGGTCAGCTTCCTGTTGCTGTTTAGTGTAACCTTTTTTTCTCTGTTCGATTTATCACCAAATAAATAATCCATGGCAGGTTTGACTCAGAATGGTGAAAGCGTGAAATGCTTTTATACTGACATTTTGAAGCATCAGGTGTTCTGTATGTGAGAGACTGCAAGACCCCTACAGTGGATGTTTTGAAATGCATTATAAATAGGCAGGGAAAGGGGGTTCCCTTGGCCAAAACTGAGTGGGCATCAACTGAGAATCAGTGCTGCAAACAGGGGCGGACTGACAACTCATGGGGCCCCCGGGCAATAGGGGATCATGGGGCTCCTGTGTCCTTGCCCAAACTCAAAAAAGCCTATGAAAAAGGTACCAGGGGCATCTCATGGGGCCCCCTACTGACCCTCGGCCCTCAAGCAGTGCCCGAGTTTCCAAATGGTCAGTCCGCTCCTGGCTGCAAATGAGCTATAATCTAAGACAAAATTTTTGTAGTTCTGTTTTGGGTATAGAAAGAAATTACTCTGTGAAGACTTAAAGCGGAGCTCCAGTCCCCCTAATAAATTTTTGGTAAAAGCAGATCCATGATGACCTTTCAAATAGCATTAACAATTGGAATAATTCAATATTTAAAATCATTGTAATTACTTAGTAATTCTTAAACATTTACCAGGATCTCGGAAGCAGGCAGGCGCCATGATGGCTGTGGGCATCTGAAGCCCACAGGTATTTATTTCCTGGAATCGTGCTGCTGGCTATCCCAGCGTACACCACTCGTTCTCGCACATTTGCAGTACAGAAACTGCTCAGCGCGATGTGTGCAGTAAAGGTTGCCATAACAATGGTGGGGACGGATGAAGTTCCTGCCCCCCATCAGGCAACCTGTACAGCACTGTACTGCAAGGAAGGGAAGGAATAGAGAACAGCAGGATACTGCATACACGTCTTCCTGTAATCGTGGACTCCGGTAAAATGGAACGAAACACCTCCCATTCTCATCATTTTTGGTTTCCAAGTCCCACGATTACAGGAAACCAAAGGACTCCTGGGATACAGGAAATGACATCCCAGGAGACCTTACAAATCGCCTTAATACGACGTCATCGCCTAGGCGGTCGGGACCGAAACTGCAGGCTTGCAGTAGATTAAAAGGTATGTATGAAAAAAAAATATCCAACTTGTTCTTTATTTCACAGGGACTACATATTAAGGTAAAGTATTAAAAATGGGTGGAACTCCGCTTTAATTGCTACCTGGGTCCCCAATGGGAAGAGCTTCTAACCCTTTTCTGATAAACTATGAAAAATATTCTTGCCACAGGTGTCCCTTGTAGACTGTTCTTTCTTCATGTCACCTGTCTCGGTGACATTACTGGGAAAAGAAGGGAGTCCTCCCCTTCCTAAAGAGAACATAAGCAATGACCAAACCCTGACACAGGTTCTGCTCAAAACAGAAAATAGAGTTCCACTTTAATATTACGTGCTGTACTAGTCTTGGGTACCCACAAACTGTATACCACTGATAGAAGTCTGTGCATGGATAAAGCCCAAAATGTTTAAAATGTATCTAAAGCTAAAACGTATTTTTTATTTATTGGTTGAGTGTTAAAACCCCCTGTCAGGTTTGTATTGCTCTCTGGAGAGATTGATCCTATTTGTCCAGGTCACCATTGACACTTGGAGAGAGCTTTACATTTCTAAGTGTCACCAGAACAGTAATAGAGGTAAAACTCTTTCAATGGAGGCACCTGTTCTTTTTTTTTTTTTTTATAATATTTATTATAATTTTCAACCAAATACAAATAACAATCACCTTCTTCAATAAAAAAGATATCCATACAATATCTTCCCACTAACATGTTATCTGAATCCCACTTCCCATCCTTTTTCCCCTCCCCTCCTCCCTCTCCCAACCCCCTCCCCCCCACCACTCTGCGTTTTCTCTCTTCTCCACTTCCTCCAATATTATTTCTAAATTTCATTTCAAGGGGTATTATGTCTTCATATATTTCACTTTTTCTCTGTACTCTTCCCATTTTTTCCATTTTATATAATACATCTCCATCTTATCTATTATGTATATAGTACAATCTTTCCGTCCCACAGATCTGATTCACTTTAACCATCCAATCCTCCTCCATCGGCACTTCCTTTTTTTTCAAAAACCTAGATATCAGACTTTTCGCTGCACTCAAAAAATACCACAACCCCGAATCCTTGTATAATTCCACTGGAAGCTCTGTATTATGAAGAAGACATAACTCGGGATCTAATCTAATATTGATTTCAGTAATCTTCCCTACTAAATAAACTATTCTCGAGGCACCTGTTCTAATGACAACTGTCTAAAAGGATTTGTTAAAAAAAACTGCCAATGCAGGTAAGGGGCGCCTGTAGAGAAAAACAAACTGCATCCTTGACCAAAGTTAAATAATCCCTTTTATAGGTGTAGGCCACTTATGTAACTCCCAAAGTCTGGCTGAAAAACTTCCACAGATTGCATCATCCTGTGCTGCTTTGTTGCTAGGATGTTGCTATGACACTCCTAGTCTTTACTGCTCACTTCCACCATCACAGGAACGAGCTCTCAAAAACCCTGCACATATGTGGTCCCCTATATTGTCTTGTCACAGCTTTCTTGAGCTCAAAGCTACTGTGACAGGACAGAGCACATGTGACAGGGTTTGAAATGGCTGGGAGTGTCTTAGCAACGTCCTAGCAACAAGGCAAAACAGGATGAAGCCATCTCTGGGAATTTTTTGGCCAGGTTTTGGAAGACACATAAATGGCCGATTCCTACAGCAAAGTTATTATTTAATCACTTGCCACCCCACCGCAGTACACAGTAGGACATCAGCTGCAGGCACAGTCACTTATACAGCATATATGTGATCCTGCCTGCTCCGGATTATGAGTGCACAGCGCGCCCCTGCTGTGACTTTTGTGTCCAACGGATACAGTGGATTACTGTTACCGATAACTACTTGCCAACCGCAGATAGCCGAATGACGGCTACACTGCGGCTGGCCAGTTCTGGGAGGGTGTCATATGACGTCCTCCCAGAACGCGCTCTCCCTGCGTGCCCCCAGCGATCTCCATGATCGCTGTGTCCTACAGACACAGCTGATCACATGATGTGGTAAAAGGCCAATCACAGCGGTTTTTTACCACGTGATGAGCCGTGTCCAATGACATGCTGATCACCGGGAAATGCAATTGCCGGTTCTCGGCTGCACTTTCCTCACGTTGTCAGAGCACGAGGAAAGTACTGCTGAGAACCAGCAGTTGTCAGAACAGGGATCGGCACCGATCATCAGGGCACGATCAGTGCCCAGCAGTGCCACCCACCTGTTCCGCCCACCTGTGCCCAGCAGTGCACCCAGCAGTTCCACCCACCAGTTCAGCCCAGCAGTGCTGCCAGTCAGTGCCCAGCAGTGATGCCAGTCAGTGCTGCCTCATTAGTGCTGCCTATCAGTGCCGCCTATCCGTGCCACCTCATTAGTGCTGCCTATCAGTGCCCATCAGTGCCACCTATTGGTGCCCATCAGTGCTGCCTCATCAACGCACATCAGTGAAGGAGAAAAATTACCTGTTTGAAAAATTTTATAATAGAAACAATGAAACTTTTTATTTTTTATTTTTTGCACTTTTTTTGTTTATAGCACAAAAAGTAAAGCGCCCAGCGGCGATTAAATACCACCAAAAGAAAGCTCTATTTGTGAGAAAAAAATGCTAAAAAATTTCATATGGGTACAATCTTGCATGACCGCAGCAATTGTGCAATCAAAAGTGCGACAGCGCTGAAAGCTGAAAATTGGCCTGGTAAAGAAGGGGTATACAGTTGTGACCAAAATTATTCAACCCCCACTGAAATTGAGTGTTTTTGGCCAGTTTGACATTGCTTTTGATCATTCAGTCTCATCTTGCTTACATTTACATTAAAGAGGCACTTGTAGTCAGACAAATATAACATAACAGTTATAATGAAATAACCACAAATGTCTTTTCTGTGCTCACAGCATTATCAGTTTTATTCAACCCCCAAGTGACATTCAATCTTAGTACTTAGTACAGCATCCTTTTACAGTTATAACAGCTTTTAAAAAAACGTGAAGCATAGCTTGACACAAGTGTCTTGCAGCGATCTAACGGGTTATCTTCGCCCATTCTTCATGGGCAAAGGCCTCCAGTTCAGTCACATTCTTAGGCTTGCGCACTGCAACTGCTTTC